ATCAAAAAGAACCACATCCTTGTGGTATATGGGTAGCTTAAGGAGAAATACTCTCACGCGTACCATGAATATCAATTTTCAAATATAATGGTCTAAATGAGGTGAGATTTTTCTTTAAGCAGAGACAAATCTGTGAAGGCGGTGTTTATGTTGTGGTCAAAAGTATACCCTGCTTGACCTGTTAGAATTTGACGCCTTTTCTGTTTTCTTAGGTGAACATCAGACTCTGTTGTCGTTCGGCAATTATTAAAAGTAAACGGTTATCTCAGCTCTTTGATAGGTACCATAACAAGTGGGTTCAGAGGGCCTTCCTCCAGGTTTATTTCAAATATGAATTTTGGCATATCTATCCTCTGACAACTCAAAGGTGGTATCCAAAACCTAGCGACAAAATGTATGATACGCTTCGTATTGGAGCACGTGACACGCCTAATTTATCAAGAACCTCTTAATGCCATCCAGTTTTCGTAACCTCAATCACGTAACAATCCTGACGTTGAAAAATATCTAATGGCGTTATAGTTCTGCCATTCAGGGACCAACGTAAGTCTGCTGGCATTTCAGTTCCATATTATCGTGATTCACTTAATCAAATAAGCAGGAAGACTAATTTGGACTCAAGCTGCATGAAGCACAAAAGCGTCAGATTCGGCTTAAATGTGGAAGTTTTTTGAAAAATGCCCACTACAAACATGCTATCATGTTCAATGCTGTTTTCTGCGAAAGAAGTGCTATAAAAACTGTTGTCACTCAGTTGCTCTTTCAGTTGTGTTGCCACGTCAGCCGAAGATGTTGCGATCAGTATTCCTGCTCAGTTTACTGAATCGAGCTTTATTTGCTCATTTGTTTGGTATCATGTTCAACTATATCTTTATCAGTTTAATATGTCCGAAATCCAATTTAAGATGTCGCAATATGAATTTAAGATGTTCGAGTATCAATTTAAGATGTCATGTTGCTATGTTTTCACTCTGTACTGTGAAAGGTGCTAACCACATAGTAACATGACATCTTAAAGTGATATTCGGATATCTTAAATTCATATTGTGACATCTTAAATTGGATTTCGGAGATCTTAAACTGAAAAAGGTATAGTTTACTGTAATGGTTGAAGTACACAATGATCAAGAAATAAGAAACACGTATTAGGAATCGCGGACGCCACAGAAGCACTGAATCACACTGGTTTCTAGTCACAGGAGTTCATTTATTGGAAGAAATCATGGGGTTGAAATAATATGCACAAAAGAAGTTTATTGGTCATCCACGTCTCTGCCAATCGCGTGCTAGTATTCCTGGCGTTGTACAGCATCTGTCTGGGCCACACGGCTAGTGATTGATCCGTACAATCGCCCTTTTGTTCGTAGTCTAGTAGCTACAATGCGCAGGTGCTTTGCGGGTGTCGTCCGGGAAGCTTGACTAATCACAGTGGTCCGAAAACTGTAACGTGTCGCTCCGTGGTTTGCGTTATCCCTTAAGTTAGGAATACCACACTTACTTTTCATGAATTCAGTTGCAACTGCAACGTGTTTTCCTCATTTTCTATATAGGCAACTGGTTTGAATCCTGAGGAATCCAAAAAGAAGTCATTATCATCTCATAATTATGTAACTACAATACTTATTCACCTTGGAGCAATATCTCTTATTGTCGCTCTGCTCACACTAAGGAGTATGTCTATAACGCATTGACCAAACTACACATAGGTTGGTTCTCCCGATCAAGTAGCATCAAGCAAGTAGCTTGATAAACAATAAAAAATAAATATTATTTGTATCATCACTATTAATCAGGTTGCTGTCTTTTTAAAAACTGAATTTTTTTCACAGGATTTGCACCTTTTCAACTTCAAGTTAATCCGTTGTAACATCCGCAGTGCTGCTGAACCTATTCTTTTGGTCGACATTCAGTGGCACCGCGGATGTCCCTTTGCAACACATTTCCTGGATTCTTCATGAATTCGTCAGTGGAGGCAACTGGTCATCACACTGTAGAAAATCGTAGATCACTATTAAGGCAACCATGGGTGGAAAACTTTAATCATCTCAAATAAATATCCATCGAGGACCCAATACAGAGTTATCGACGTTTGTGGGACAATGGATAACGGTAACTCATTCTTATCATCACTTGTCTCATTCACTAAACTATCAGGATCGAACGGATACAATCAGGATGTGAAGAGATGCGACAGGTTGATCAGTGAAACAATAAGGATAAGGACCTATACGATGAAGCTGAGTAGCGAAAGGAGAAGCAGCAGGTGAAAGACTGATGCCATTGTCATTGTGGAGGGCTGACTCCCAATCCCCTCCTTTCGCTGCCAGCCATTCTTTGATTGTTCTGTTATTGCGTTCCGTGAGGCCGTTGGTTTGTGGGTGATAGGGCGCTGTGCGTATCTTTTTGATGCCTAATTTCTGTAAGCACGTGCGAAATTCGTCACTCTCAAAGCCC